GATATCAGGAATCTGGCTGTTCAGATACTTCATATGTCAGAAGATTACATAAATTCAACGCAGCTTATGCGAATAATGGATGGTCATTTGTTATTCACAAGGAACAAAATATCTCACTCAGAACAATGTCTGGAATCTGATTACGTGTTTCTCTGATCACGGTTCAACATGTAGCAAATCAACTATCATTAAATGTATAGTTGATGGTGTTGTGTTAAGTGATGTAGGACTAACAAGAAGCGGAAACATCAGCTGGAGAGCATACAGGGACAACTCCCTCATGAAACATATCCATGTGCTCACACTTAAAAGGAAGCAGTGGGTTATCAAACTCCTTCTTACTTAGTTGAGTATGGAACCAACGTGTGAGGTATGCAACCGTAAGACACAAACTCTGGCTGACTGGGGTATGACTCATGATTGTGAGGGTCTTGCGTGGTGCTTGTTGAATTGTCAAGCTAGAATGAGAACTGAGCATATGTGTACTAAGCACCATTTGATTCTAGAGTTTGTTAGGCGTTGTCTAGTTGAGAGAACACTGATTTGTTCTGATGATCAATCTGCAAGAAAGTTTATCAAAAAACTCTATTTTCAAAAATGGTTGCTAGGTCTAAATCTTATCTTGCTCTTTGTGAGCACGAAGTCTTGATCTGTTCTGGATGGTTGTCTGGTACATAGTTGTTTCAGGATAGCAAGTGTGTTTTTTTTAATCTATTGTACAGATCACCTCTCAATACCTCTCATCGGTATGTCAACTCAGAAAAAAAGCTGCTCATCATACATGTTCAGAACTGGTTTCTGTTTTCCTTATCTCTCTCTAATATATTCTATTGGGTTCAAAAGAAAAGAAGTTAGAAAAGAAAAAGAAAAAAAAAAGAGATCAAAGAAAAAAATCAAAAAAAGAGAATCAAAGAAAAGAAACCCAGAGAAAGAAAAAGGGTGAACGAAAAGAAAACATGACTCAAGTTATGTCACTTGCTCAAAACTGAGAAACAAGTGGGGAAGGGGCTATATGTTCTATGTCTGAATCTCTCTTGACAGAATCTGAACATGTATGCTGATGTGAAGACTATTCTGAGTTGATCAATGAGTGTGAAAACTTCTCTGTGAGAAACAGCTACCTCAGTGGGCTGGTGTGTTGAATCACCTTCAAAAAGACTTCCGCTTGTTGTTCTGATGTCAACTTGTGTTGTCACATGTTCTCTTGGACAAGTCTGAGGGTTTGTGTCTCTATTCTATATACATATGTATATATCTTGGTCAAATTCTTCTCTTTCTGGTTTGCATACTTTGTTCTCAGGAAATCAGTGTTGTTCGGAGACTGTTCTCGTCTGTCCTAACTCGGTTCACAGTGGTTGCATTTCTGCTCCCTGTTTATGTGACTGCTGCATCAGTCTGCTTATGTGTATATACGATTAGGTATACGTTCTTGTGTTACTCTCATCTCCTATCTTGTGTATTTTAAATCTCATGGGTTGTGATTATGTTAGGTCATTCCTAGCTAGTTAACATCATTTCTTTTGATCTTTGTCGTTTCTCTATCATTTAAGTTTGAATCCTGTGTTATTGATGAACGGGTTCCATCCGTTAGTTAGAATTGATGTTTTGTAGGTATTGGCCCACATATCCACATAAAGAGAGATAATGGGCTTGAAAACGGTTCGGAAAAAGAAGTTTCTCGAGTGGCGTTTTACTTTTCCGAAAATCGAGGGAATAGAGGGAAAACGAACTATTCACGCCTCGGTCTGTCTTATCGCGTGTAATTGTTCTCTTTTCCCATTTATGAACCCTAGTTTCTCTCTCTTCTACAGTTCACATCTTTCTCTTGCTTCTGTGCTTTTCTCTCGCTTCTGGCTCTCGTTTTCTTTGTGATTTGCAGAAATCATCATGACTAAGTCACCAGGAAAAACTATTACCACCGCTGAAGATCCATCTCCAGTCAAATTAAAAAGGGGCGGTGCATCTGACAAGGCTGGTTGTTCAAAATCCAAGAAACAGAAGTGTACTGCAATTGTAAAAGTTGAATCGAAGGTTGTTCCAATGAATCAGCGTCTTCGAACCAGGGGTTGAAACCCTCCCGCAAATCAAACAACTATCTCAGCGCCTCTCACTGTTGAAGATGACAGTTGTGACTCTGTCTCGGGAAACGGAGATTCTGTGACTCATCAGTGGTTATATCTAGCTGCTGGAACGGGTGCTGGTGCCTCAGGAACTGTAAAAGGTCGACATGCATTCTATCTGGAAGAAATGGTGAATGATCCTGAGGATGTGAGGCTAGCTTTCATGAAGAGATATGA